GACTTGGACAGTTGTTTGTAATATTAGCACACTTACTCATAATGAAGTTCAATTATTGATAAACTCTTTTTTTAGTATCAACAGCATCGACTACTTTAAGCTTTGTGTTCTGGGTAGGTAATGTGAATAACTCCCTGAGCCACCTAAGGAGCATCATTACTATTCGCAATTCGTCAGCCATGTAACGCTGCAGAATTATTCCAGCTTTAACTAGAGAAATTCTCTCAAGAAAAATATCTAGTCGACGTGGGGGTCGAACTCACGACCTTTCGATCATGAATCGGACCTTTCAATCGTAATTCGTGCGCACTACCACTGCACGCTTTAAAAATGCATAAAAATATCGTTTGTTTTTCAACAGATTTTTTTCTCGATATCCACTGCATCAAATAAAAAGTAGGCATCGTTGAAAAACTCTTGAGATAACCCCTCTTATCTTATATATTTTATTCATACAAGAATTTTGTGCCCAATCATTCATGATAAATTGAAACGGCAATGCATGGAATCATAAAAATAGTATTTCCATTTTCTTCTATTCGATTCAGCGAAGATCTGAACTTCGTCAATTTATATTATCATCTTTTTGAATAATTTACCAGCAACCCAAAGTCTACTTAATATCTTCGTAAGTCTATTCAGAGTAGTGCCCATTCGACAATTTGTCCGTTGAAGTAAATATTTATTCTTCCATTTTTTCATTCAATTACTTTTGTCCTTCAAATGGTATTGGTCGTTCGATATTTTGTCCAGGAAATGTATGCGAAATAATAATAACAGTAATTTCACCGAGTTGGAATCCTGTTCAACAAAAGAGTCAATTTATATTATCATCTTTTTGAATAATTTACCAGCAACCCAAAGTCTACTTAATATATTCGTGAATATCGATCGAAAGTCTATTCAGACGAGTGCCCATTGGACAATTTGTCCAATGGGCATTCGTCCATTCTTCCATTTTTTCATTCAATTACTTTTGTCCTTCAAATGGTATTGGTCGTTCGATATTTTGTCCAGGAAATGTATGCGAAATAATAATAACAGTAATTTCACCGAGTTGGAATCCTGTTCAACAAAAGCCACATAAAATCCCAGAGATCACTTATTCACTACTGTGGCAACTTAGGGATGATGAACTCTTCCTCAAAACCTCAACTTTTCAAAGCACCTAACTTCTGATTTCCTTAGGTTAGATGACCTGAATCCGAAAACTAATGGATTTTCCAAGTTGGTGTCTTCAACATCTTAGTCTACCGTAATCGAGTAACCAGGCCAGCCGCGAGCTGCCTGAAATTCTTATATATTAAATTTTTGGCACATGTTTTATAAACACCCTGTAGGTAATGATCAAGCTTGCACACAGGATGGTTTTGAGAGTCTTAAACCAAGATGATGAAAACATTAGGTACTTTGTTTTACCCCGTATAATGTGTATTAATTGGACCTTATTAAGATATTTATTTGATGTAAATCAATTTGGAATAAATTTCCTTTCATTTACTTGAAACATTATCAAAATCTGGCTTAAAATAAAAAAAGTTTTCCAAAATCAAAATCTGTTAACATTTCAGGATGGCCGTTATTTTGCATTATTGTTCATGGGCATTCCACCCTACTTTTTCTTGGTAACATTCGATCGACACCCAACAATTTTGAATCTTTCATATGTTAAGCCATATTTAGACTATGAAACAAGTTTCATGAAGAATTATTGTTTTGATATAAAGCGACAATGAAGAAATAGTTGTGAAATATTCGTTGACAAGGATTAAGTCTTCAATATGTCGTGGTTGAGTGGGAACATAGATGTACAAAAGGTTGGGGCACGTGAAATGTTGTGTTGTTGATAAAAGAAAAGATCTCTGAAACGTTTCGTATCCTTGTAGGTTTAGATGAAAATCTAACAAAACTTATCTGCATGAAATTCGTAGGTAGTAATAATCATATTACTCGCGTAATAAATGAGAACGGATATCATATTCAAAAATTTGTTGGGGATGACAATGCAAAATTTGATTCGTCTTCAAGAAGTGATACTGCTGGTGCTTCACAGCTTCATCAGATGACATGTTAGTTTTTTTGTCAAGCACGATTATGATGGCACGGCTCAATTTATTATATAATATGTTATCAGACTGCATTTGGTTTACACTGTAACCAATGTAAGAATAAGTACCATGTCCAGATAGAGTTCTAAATGGAGTTTTGTGATGGAATTGACTTATCCTTGAAAATCAATGATATCGTATCTGAGTAAGAGGAATAAGCTTTCAAAGCCGTAACACATTTCACTATGCAATAGATTATTAAGGCGTGTTCAATACTATCGTGTATAATGAATAGTAAAACACGTGTGGCGATTTTATTAAACTGTTTGTTGAGAATCTAACCATAAAATATCACTTAAATATGCTAATCAGTTTTGACATCCTTTACGGTTGGTTATACTTACCCAGAACAGCATTAAGCCATTGTCTATAATTAGACAATGATTAAGCATAATGTGTATAGTTACCCATCGGTCTCATGCAAAACTCTTCAATTATCAAGTGTGTGATATTTGACAGTTCAGAAACCATTTAATTAGCGAACCCGAATAAGGCTATAATTTTGTTCATAAAACTTGAAACAATTTTGCTCAATTTGCATAAAGAAAATCTTCCTGGCATACCTACATAGTACTGTACCACGACTCGGGCTCTTTTTTGCAACAAGTTTCAGAAACAACTTGCGGTGAAACAAAAAATATGTTTCAAAACAAGTCAGTTAAGCATTTTTCATTGGAATTCAAACCTTGTTCTACAACACCCTGTTTTACAACTTTTTGTGTTGTCTAAATGTGGCATAACAGTAATTGCATATGGTATATTTCTTGCTGTGGGTGGGTTACATGTGATTCAGTGCTGCTTCTTTTATCCAAATCAGTGGAGTTAGAAACATTTTTATCAAAAACTGATCGGCACCCAACAATAGTAAAGCATTCATTTATAACATTGCTATAAATATTAGGAATTATTGTTTGTTATTGAGTTACATGTACTTCATCGCCGTTATATTCATATGAAACAGTTTCAACTAGAACTAGATTCTATAAAGGAAAATCAAATTGTAATATTTAAGGGGTAAAGCAGTGAAAAATCAGTTTCAAACTGTTGAACTATTTCAGAATTTCAACTACGTAGTTGAACAAATTCATCATTGAACCTGTTTTGTTACACCGTATGACGTGAGAGTACATGTGTATCTCGAAGCTACCTCGCTTGCAGGTAATGTTCCAGCTAGCTCATTGTCTGATGACTTACGTTAGATTAGGTCAAAACTAACTGAGTCTTTTCGACCCTCCACCGCAACCCGTGTGGGTTTATTGTGGCTCACACCTATTCACACTCGACCAATAATCCCAGCTTCTTAACGAAGCCGATTATTTTGTATGGTGAGTGGTCTTTCAGGTCAGATGGTAAGAGTACGGCTCTGTCGAATTCCAAAAACCTAATTCGGTCCCCAGCGGAGCAGGCACAAAGTATGTGCTCTGCTGTTTCATCATTTTCCAAACAGAGGCGACACACACTGTCTTCCGACAGTCCGAGTCTCTGTATATGATAATTCAAATGACAGTGACCTGTGAGAAGGCCTGTTAGACATCGTAGTTTATCCCTACTGTAGTCCAACAACTGTTTGATATCAAGCTTCGAAGGGTAAATAAACGCCTTGGAGTGAGCCAATCCTCAAATATACTGCCAGAAGTCCATAAATATTCTTGCCATCCAGGCGTTCAATGTTTGTTTAGCAAAGCGTAAAGCGATGAGAATGACACATTCTGATTCTATGAAGCTGCTTGCAGCACCTCCCTTTGCAAGGGAGTCAGCAGCCTCATTGCCTTCCAGGCCAGTATACCCAAGAATCCAGACCAGAGACGATATGTTAAGTCTGATATAGTATGTCCGATGATTTAGTTCGATGTCTAGAACTTAAAAGTGTTTAAGTACATGTGTACTTCCGAATTAATCACTGGCATGAAGTATTCAATGATAAATCTGCTTCGAAAAACCTGATGAATATTTATTCCTGCTTTTATATTTTACACAGTTAACATACATTTCTGAATATGTCTAAATATAATCTCACTTTGTTGATGTGATTCAATTTTATTCTGTCTTTAGAAAGTTTCATATAAACATTATCCAGTTTTTCCTTCCTACATCGAATTAGAAAATAGCTAATTCATCTTTAAAGTCAATTCAGTACAGTATGACTCACTGAAGTAATAATCTGAGAGAGAAATGATGAGAATAAAAATGAACAACAAAAAATGTGATACTTCACAAGTGTGGAAAGGATATTGATGAACAGGCTGATATCGAAATATTAGTTCACACTGTTTCGTAAAGTGTTCTGGTTATATAACTTGATTAGTCTATTTTCAATTCATGATAATTGGGTTCCTCTGTAATTTGAAGTTGTTCTTAAATGAATACACAATTTGTAACTACTTTTTTCAATATGACCGACATGGTAACTCTAATTTATGTTATTATCAATGACGTACAACCCCATAATTTGTGTTTTAGGCTATTTATTTCCATGTTATTGTATAGTTATATTCATTTCTATATTTAATAAATATATATCTCTACAGTATTCAGACACAGATCCAGGGGACAATGTCCTCCTAGAAATTAAGACACATTAAAAAATCAGATAGGAAAAAACTAACTAATGAAAGGTGAAGTATATGAATGTATCTCAAAATAGAGAATTTAAAGCTGCAAGGAAAATTACTAGTTATACATTCAATGGTTAGATATTCATAAAAGTAGGCAACCTGCATAATTTGTTCCCCTATTACTGCTTGCTGCACCTGCCAGCACTAGACAAAATTGTCAATGGACACTTTCTTAGAATGATTAGAATTTTCATTCGTTAACTGTATCTTAGAAAAGATAAGTAAATATTTGCCGCACCTCTCTTATAGTAGAATTGTTAAAATAAAAAAAGAAAAATATTATCGCCAGAAAACTAGCCAAAGAAATATATTGAATTTTTCAGTTAGTTTACAGGAACTCAGAATAAAACACAGAGTCAGACAAATATTTCATAAGTTGTCACTAGTTACAGAAAATAAAGTTTTGTTTTACTACTTATATTCATGAAAATCTATTACTCGCCACGAATTGTTTCCAAATAATCAGCAGCTTCTTTAGTAATTTTGTGATAATTTGCTGTGATTGGTCTGTAATAGTAAGCTTGATAGTCATTTCTCTCAGCTAACTTCTGTTTTATATCCCTCTCTACGAATTGTTTCCAAATAATCAGCAGCTTCTTTAGTAATTTTGTGATAATTTGCTGTGATTGGCCTGTAATAATAAGCTTGATAGTCATTTCTCTCAGCTAACTTCTGTTTTATATCCCTCTCTATTTTCCTAAAAGAAATACAATGACTAGAGATCTTCATTCTAATATTCATGTGCATCTTGTGAGATGTTTGCTTATCTAACAATAATCAACTTCATAAATGTTAACATTCAAACAGAAACTACATTTACCTCCCTAGCTTTGATCAGCGCAAAAAAATAATTGAGAATATATTACCTTTTCTTTAATATATAATAAACGATGAGCAGATTGTATTTCTGAGTTATGTTTATACTTTTGTTACAGTAATTATACAAAAGAATGTTCTTATGCAGAAAGGGCACACTTGAAAAAACAGAAACATGTTACCAATATATCCCCCTTATGCATAATATTTTGTGGATATTTTATTGGTTTGATCCATAGCAAATCCTAAAATGTACTATTTAAAAATACAGTGCTGATCTAAATAGTTCCCACAGTGTGAGATTTCCACTTGAAAGTTTAGAAAATCACAATTTCTTTGTTATGCTTTTATAAGGAATTGGTTGGAAATTTGCATGTGTCCTTTCTGCATATTGAATCCAATTTATTGAACATTACCAATTGTACAACACAACCAATGTAAAAATTGACATCGGCGGACCTCAAAACTCAAAATCAAATTCTCATTGATGACCGCTATTATTTATCTTTATATATTTTCCTACCTGAGTTGTCTCCGTTCTTCTTCCATAAACATAAAACACAAATATTTTTCATAATCTTGCTGGGGATCAGTCATTATATATCTAGCAATGAATCTAGTCACTGGACTCTACAAAAAATGTTCAGTAAATAACTGATGTGACAATAGAAATGCTCTAACGGATAGAAATGGTCAATAAAATAGTGGTATTTAATTCAATCCAAAAACAAATAATTAAGGCCAGGGACTTTTATCACAATTTTGAGTAACTAATTGAAGTAATATAATGGTATTTGCATTTCTAGTATTTTTTTATTGCTTATTTAAACACCGATCTTTTTCCAAATTTTCATAAATTTCGTCCCATAATAGTGTTTACGTGGGACATTGTGGTCCAAATTTCCAAAAACGGTATGCTGAACATGAAAGGTCCTTCAGACTGATAAAAAATGATTCGATGTTTTCAAACAAGTTCCCGAATATAAACGATATGGAAATTTTGCACTATGCAAGGAAGGGCTGCAAACTCAATTATTTAGAATCCTTGGAAATTCCCAAGCATAAACATTGTGGGTGCAACCTGTTAAATGATCAAATCGATTTAGTTTACTCACCGGTTATCAAATTAGCATATCCGCATTGTAACTACTAAACAATCAAGCCAAGTGCCTCTATTATTACCTGCAGGGGTGCTATATAAGGGCTAATGTAATGTACTTTAATGTATAAGTTTGAAAATGTCCTTATGGGACTAAACTGCAGTAACGTTAGTTACAAATGAAAGTGGTAAAAAACATAGAAAGTTTCAATTCTCTTTTCTTCATTGTGATCTCCTACCACGTAGTAACGGCTAAATCCATCAATTTACTGTTTGTCATACTAATGATGATAATGAATACAAAATGTATTGATGTTTTATGCATTNTCATCGTACTCTGTAATATTCCCAGTATTTTGGTACATAATCTTCAGGAATTTCTGTCAGGGTAGCAGGTCCAATAAATACATTAGCATATGTAACAGCCAAACCACAAGGTATAATTCCTAATAGAAAATAATAGTGAAGACTGTCTTTGAATTTGTTCCATTGCCATCTCGAGGGTACCATAGGAAATGTTCTGTGTTCTGACATGCATCTTTTGGACACTGAAATTCAGAATTTTGGAAAAAAATATTAATCATTTCATTACATAACAAACAAAAATAAGAATTGTAAAAAAATACCTTGTTTTTGTATTGTAGCTGTTGGCATTCGAAACAATGATCTTAATGTGCTTAAAATAGACATTTTAGGAAAATTTTATTAATGAACTACTGAAATAAAAATATGAATTATTTTTCTCCTTTAACCAAATATTTTTGACAATCGCTCAATCCATCCGACCAACAGCATTGCCAATAGAAAATTATCAAAATCCCCAGCGTAATTCAAAATTTTTCAAATGATTTCTCATGATGTGCGGCAGCATTTAGAACGGGTATTCTATATCTTTTTTCTTATCACACAGATGTAGATCCAATATATGAAAATTCAGAAGGAATGCTGGAATTGAAAAACTCATATAAATATGCATTTTTTATATTCTACATAGAGTTTATGACCAATTAACGATAAGAAAAAATGTACAGAGAAATTCATTCAGAAATATATGAAGTCGTTTGTAACAAAACTGTTTATATGTAGGTATACTTATTTTCAATAAATTTGAATAATTTCCCAAGCCTTGAGATTGAGGCATGTTCATCTTCAGTCCCCATATTGTTTCTCTTCCAATATTGCAATTATTGCAACATAATAGTATGCACTCATTTCAATAATAGTACTCTTTCAGCACGTTTTCTTTTTTGTCAACCAAAAGTGTATTTCAGTCAATAATCTCAATTTGAATTTTAAATCCGGTAGTTTTCATTACGTCATGCACACTTCCAAGATTTGACAGTATATCTAGTTTTGAAATGCTAAAGAATAAACACTGTCACAGAAATAAGGAACGCTAACAATAATGAGAAAATGATTACCACGTAGAATACAAACAGAACAGAAGGAGAACTTGAGAACAAGAAAAATAATCTGCATGAATTCCGATTGCCTCTATGGATCTATGAGATTTAGTGCCGTTGGCATTGACAAATGATAGTGAACGCTGAATTCTCGAAAATTCCTCAATATTTTTGACTCCCTAAAAATTGTCCAATAAAAATAAGTATCAGATTCCCCAAAAAATTAAAGAATTCCCCAACCAACGATTGGGATTACTGCCAATCAATTTTTGTTTCAATTATGACCTGTTCTTGTTCTTCGGCCTTTTCCCTAAACTATTTTAGGCGCCTAAATAGTGCATACATAAACTATTTTCGTCGTTGTTAAAAAATAAATAAATGAAATACATTACTGGCACTGCACTAGTTCATTGTTGAATGAAAATGTCATGTAACTATATCTAAAAAGATCGCATCACTTGACAACAAGCTCAAAACACAGAATATTTACTACTATTCTGTGCCCAAAACACAGTAGAATGTAGAATGCTAAAAGATCACTGTGCCCAAAGAAGTAAGATAGATGATTCTCTCTAGATGCTATTTCAATACCTAACCTCAACTTAGTATCCAACTTCCGACAAACATTTTTTTCAAATTAAGATTTTTAAACAATGCTTGAATTTTCAGTTACATGATTAAAACAAACTGAAAACAATGCTTAATGGTCTGAGGTACATAAGTCATTCAATTAAATCATCTGCGTTGAAGAAAATAAATAATGGTCAGGAGAGGAAGAGATTTATTCACACATCTTTTTGTAAGTGTGGTGTTCAATAACGGTTTGAAAAGATGAATTGTTTTTTTTTATTTCTAGATAGGTTCAGTGGAGAGTACGAATGGCAAGATCCAAAATCACAGGATGAAGTGTAAGGAGTTGTTTGATTTCTATATAATTTTGTGGACAATTTCACAATAATAATGATCTCAATTTACCATTTTGATACACAATGAATTACAAATAGTCACATATCAAGCCTCAAAGACCTTAAAAAAAATATTCAGTAAAGTATATACTGCACAATAACATAAATTTGTCAGTAATTTTACAGGCTTCAGTTACCTAATGTATTTTCTAGTGCAGGTCCTGCAATAATTATTGTATCATCAGCAAACAAAGTTATGTGACACTTTTTAAGTTGTTGAAGATTGTTGGCAAATATTACGAGAAGTGAAGGTCCTGGGACTGTCACTGGGAGCTCCCAATGTTACATCTTGTTCTCTGGACATGAAAATGGTCATACTACTACCATTCATACATGATTTCCACCAATTCAGCCCGATTCCCCTGAGTCAAACGAATTCAATATAAAAAACTCTGGTGAGGTTGTATCAAATGCTGTTGACAGATGAAAATCTATTTTGGGATAGGTATGTATATTTGGATTTGGGTCGTTGCAAAGACAAGCTTTGAGATTCGCCCTCTGTCTTTCACTGCAGCTTTTACTCCAAGGTGGCTTGTTGAAACCAGAGCTGAAACACAATGCATTTGTGATTCAACAGCTCTGTTTTGACCTACGGAGGGTCTCTTCAGAAGTGCTAGGCCGACACACAAATGCATTGCTAGATTTAACTAGGGACTCTGTGCTCTGATTGGTTATCTGGAAGGAAAATTCTGCAAGAGATGAAACATAACCATCTCTTATGTTATGGATACTTTGTATCCATATATTCATAAATAAATGCCATTAATCTAGAATTTTATGTATTTTCGGTAAGAGTTGCATTCAGGTTACTCGGACAATAAATCCAGCTTGATTGAGAAAATTATAGGTTGCAGTTTCTATGGAGTGATTCTTCCTGGACCTAGGTTGATTGTCCCATGTAAGATTATTTTTTGTAGACCACCAATTTTTCATTTAGTTTGAAAGATTCCATAACAGCAAAATATGTTAATAGTTCTTTCTCCTAGTTAAAAAAAAAACTACATCTTTTTTGGAAAACTACCCTTGCTGTCGCCCAACTTGTGTTAGGAATCACACGTTGAAAGGTAAGACCTCGTCCTTACCTCGTACAAGTTTCGACTTCTGAGGATTGTTTTTCGTAGGGGTGCGATAGCTGGTTAAACGGAAACATAAACATTAGAGACTTATTCAATCTTTGCCTGTAAGGCAGTGCCATATTAGAATCAAATGAATTCCTTCCTTTTTTTTGTTTTCAGGGTGAATATAATTGTTATTTCTAAAGATGGTGAACGAATCCCTATTCAAGGAAAAGTAGGAGATAATCTATTATACTTAGCTCATAGATATCAAATTCCCATGGAGGGGGCTTGTGAAGCATCCTTAGCTTGCACCACTTGTCATGTTTATGTACAAAGTAATCATTTCGATCATTTACCTACTGCCACAGAAACTGAAGAAGATCTACTAGATATGGCACCATTTTTGAAAGAAAATTCTAGACTAGGATGTCAAATTATTTTAAAAAAAGATTTAGAAGGATTGGAGGTTGAATTACCTAAGGCAACTAGAAACTTTTATGTTGATGGGCATTCGCCGAAGCCACACTAAGCATTGTTAATGATCTGATAATGAGATAGTAATATATTATTCGAATCTGTTTATCTGATTGTGATTTTTATGCAAATATGAATAACATAGTTTTCCAGTAGGCTTACTGTGATGTACCTTTTGAACTGTACCAGTTGATTATCTGTCAACATTCAACTTGATAGGAATCTCATATTGAAATATGAAGCCTTGTTAATCTATAGGCTGCACTAACTTTGAAGTTTGAGGGCATGACAGTTGGTTAGAAAATTCAAAACTTCAATTGTTAATGAAGCCTAGGTAAACCATTTAGTGAGGAAGACGCAGAGATGAATCATTTCCTTCGTTTTCAAATTATTTCCTTTGTTTTCAAATCATTTTTATGAAACGGGAATAGAGAACGTGTATGTAGGTATTTCTTTATTTTTTCAAATAATTGATGTGATTCCCAGATGTCTCGGTGATCGAAATACATTTTTTCTTTGGAATTTTCAGATTTGTATAGTCTACAATTTCAGCTCGATTTGACCTAGAATTCGATTAACTCTCTTTAGCGCCACTCTAGATTATCTAATGAACATTTAGAAAAATAATACAGTCGGCTGCAGTAATGACGAATGATCAATAATAACAGTAAAATAATATTTTTTTATGCAAATATTTCTAGAAAACTAATCAAGAATGACTATCGTTGAAGAAGTCATTATTATGTGAATAAGAATACGTCATGAAATTTTTCTGAAAACGGTGATGTGCTGAGAAAAAGAATTGAAAATTTTACCAACAGTTTATTATTCAAAAATGTCTGTGACTCAACAATTCCTAACTGATCACATTTTTTTCTCGCTCTCGTAAATACCGAACATATAGTATTATCGAACTCTTATCGAGCGAAGCGACCTAATCGAACGCTCAAGGAACACATCTTCAGTCTTCGTATTTTCAAGGTTACTATATAGATGGGTGGCTGAATAGAGTTGTCTTTAAACGAAGGTATACCTGAAGAAAAGGGAAAGGTGTGGTTATAAACAAGTTTGGTATCAATGATATAGTGACATCAGGTTTAATGTTACTGACACTGAATTTGAATTTTAGAATTAAAAATTATTTTGTGAGTTTATAGTGCTGGTTTATGAATTCTCCTAGTTTCTCTCACGAACATTGTTATCATTTTCAGCGTTTTACAATTTATTTTATCTATTTTTAATATAGAGTGTATTGATAGTTTATAATATTTTAATATAGTCAAGACATAATAATCTCTGTAAAATTTCTATCTGATTCTTATTGAGTGAGAATAAAATTGTTGAACAATATTGAAAATGAGGCTCAATGATAGATCCAAATATCTTGAATCTTGTTCTATTTGTTAAGTCTTTTACTATTCGTGATGTAACTTTTATAGCAATTTTTTCTGAAATATATGTAACATGTTTATTGAAATTAAGTGAACTATCTGAAAATATACCTGAATGAATAAAAAAAGCGAATTCTTAAATGTAACACAAAATTCCTGATGTATTTTTCCAACCAATAAATGATTGTATCGGTGAATTTAAGAACTCGCCTAATTTTAAATTCTAACTTATTGAAGATTATAAACAACAACACTCTTTTACGAGGAATTGGGCAAATTTGGATATGCAGTTGGTTACCTCGTTCACAGGCAGATGGAGCGACGACAAACCTGTTGTTTGTTGTAGTTGAGACTGGCCTGAACGAATTGTTCTTTTAGATGATTTGACTCTTACATAAAATCAAATAACTGTATAATACTGCACGTTTTGGATACAACAGAATTTTATTATTTTTTCTTCTAAAATACTGTAATTGTATTACAAATGACTGCAAATTATTTAGGATTACGATTGCGCAGTATTCATTCAACGCTGTTTTCTCTGGTGAGTTTATTTTTTAACATCAATAACTGGAAGTGAATTTATGCACACTCGATTAGCAAGGAACAAGTAGCAAAAACGTCACCATAAAGTAGACTGAATAGTCACTATGAACTAAAACGCGAGCGCCTCAGCTTGCAGATTTTTCAGAAAAAAAGACATCGTAGTATTGACGATTGTATGTTCGTATTGAAGCTATTTTCTAGATTTGTTGGCTGTGGCCTGCATGTTTTGATACATGACGTGGCATCTGCTTATCTGCAGATTCTGTTTTGAGGACGCCAGTTGTTTCATCACCTATGATAAATTTCATCGCACTTATAGACGAAACGTTAGGCACAAAAACTGGCAGACCTCTGCAAAAAACCTGTAAGAAAGCTGTGACACAGTAATTTCAGATCATGACGACTGCCAGTCAGTTGTTACAGAGACTTCGGTATATGACCTTCGTCTTCGCAATCAACGCAAATACAACTCATGATGTATATGTCACAGTAACAGACGAAGCATTTGGTATTTCAAGTTCCATTCGACCATGGCTCATCGGCCAAGATTTTGTTCTTTGATCGTGAATTTAGCCGTGAAAGCTTATATTCTCATATTATCTTTCGAAAGCACTTTTCCAGTCATCTTCTGATGATGTTAACTTGGTAAGCGCATTTCAATTCCAATGAGGAAACGATGTTTTCAATAAATTTATTTTACTACAGATGTTACAAATTCTACGTTCTACGTTTTTATATAATGACGCTCTCATTGTTCATCTTATTGTCCTTTCGCTAAAAATTTTATTTGTAGCATCAGAATTATTCTGAGTTGGCAACTTTGGGTTTCATTTGACATTTTTTTATATGCATTTACCGATTAGCACTCTCAATATTTAGAGCAGGAAACGGTATGAACAACTGAAATGAAAACTGCCACTAATGAGAAGTAAACAGAGTAGCAAACTCGAAAAAGATACGTGTGCTCCAAATAATATCCACATCCGATATAGTCTATATAGTCACTTATTGATTGTTAACTGTTGATTACTAATCGAACATGCATGAATCCACCTTATGAGTAACATTTCACAACATGGAATGTCGAAATATGCAAAAATACAATATTTCATAATGTTATCTCAAAAATAACAGCAATAACAATGTTCCGTATATTATTGGCAACTGTTACCTATCTTGTCACTGATAATGACGTAAACGTAAAAAAGTGACGGTAAGCTCTTGAATGCGAAGTAAAATTTCTGATGGTTACTTCAGCCAATGAAACCGCGCTAATGTTTCAAATGCACTATATAACCGAATCGAACAAATCTCAATATTCCATTCCACTTTACTCGATTGCTGATAATTCTATTACTGGAATCATTTTATTATTCCTATAATCATAACTGATGATGTTGATAATGGTCACATTATTCGTCTTTCTGTATTTTATATTGAGTTTTTCAGAACTATTGCATTACAAGTAATTTTCGAACGATCAAACCCAAATTTGAGTACTTTCGGAACATATCCCTATTTTTCAATATGACAAATGACAAGTGAATAGTGAACTGCAGAGCGTATCACTTTAATTTTTCTAAGTTTCCGCTTCCTTTCGGTATAACACCGCAGCCATGAAAGCCAAGGGAGAGGTTAGTTAAGTGTTTTCATTTGTAAATTTAATAATTTTAAAGTCATTATGTTGTTTTTTCAATAACTAATAGTACTGGTGTTTGCAGTATTAAAAATAAGTACTTTTTGATATCAGGTTTTAATTTTGAACTTGTTTTGCATGGCCGTACACGTGTGCTTAGTGTCATAATTACTATCTGTTACAAAACAATTTTTCTGTTTTCAGTTGAAAGAATATGAAGTTATCGGGCGTAAGTTGCCTACAGAAAAGGAGAAAACAACTCCTTTATATAAAATGAGGATATTTGCTCCGGACCCAATAGTAGCGAAATCTCGTTTCTGGTATTTCCTTCGCCAGCTTAAAAAGTTCAAGAAAGCCACTGGCGAGATCGTGTCTGTGAAACCAATTCCCGAAAAATCGCCTATTAAAATCAAAAACTTCGGTATTTGGCTCCGGTATGATTCCCGATCTGGCACCCACAACATGTACAGGGAATACAGAGATCTTAGTGTTTCTGGAGCTGTAACTTCTTGCTACAGAGATATGGGAGCCCGTCACAGAGCCAGAGCTCATGCTATACAGGTGAGTCTTATTTTGTATGAATGATGTTATATTTCTCTAGAAATTCATGTCTCCAGATAGATTAATATTAAGTGTATGCAACACTCCCAAGATTAAGAATTAAGAGGTCAACCATAACAAATCGATGGGAGCATATAAGGAAATTTGACTAAGAAAGAACTATCTCTAGAAAATTGGCCAATTAAATTAATAAATGAAGGAATATTCGGAATTGCTACTGGGATGGTTCAAAATAGTTACATTACTGTTTATTCAGAATGTACTATCACATAACTTTCTAAGATTCAACTAAGCAACTGTTTTTTACTGTTATAGGACTGTCCCGATGACAAACCCGAATACGTCTTTAGAGCTCGAGTCAAAAAGAAAATTTACATGCACCAAGTTAAAATATTTGCAACTTTCATTGAGTATAGAAATTTCAAAAAGAATGTTTCAAATTTGTAACATAATAGTTGGAGAAATGAGTAAAAAATCTTGAACCGTCATTTCATTAAGGTAATATCGTACAGTAGAATATTAAATGAATAATAATTGTGGTTATGTTGATATTTGCATGAACCAGAAACTTTTCCTTGGTATAGTTAACAGTTATTATGTTTAGTTTTTAGGTAATGTAATGGCCATTATTTGTCATGTACCACCTAGTAGGTGAAATTTCATAAGACAAGGTAATTCAAAAGATTTCTGCATTTCTAGGCAGTTTTTTCTCTGCCACTTGAAGGAAATATTGATTTTAGTTGCCTCTGCTAGTTTTTTTGAAACATTTTAAAATAGTCCTACATATATTTTTTTATATTTCAGCTACATACTTTTGGTAATGAAAACTTGTAAAATGTCACATTCTTTTCATGATTGATACTAATGAGGAAATTTTTCAGTTGAATTCCTAGGACGTGTTCTCACAATTTAGGTTTAGTTGATCAACAAAAGTTGAGTATGACTGGAATTAGTTTTTGTTCACATTGTTCAGCACAAAATGTTTCAATTCATTTCATTTTCAACTCATTTCAATGTAATTAAGTTGAAAATGGCATCGAAAGCAGTTGTGCATGAAATTGTAAGTACAATAAGTGTTTTGTTGAAAGAAGAACTAAAAGTAATTCTCGGTAATGTGTTTTAAAATTGGCAGACAACTCATAAGTTGAACAATAAAGTTTGACTCAGTCTAACATTTGTTGATCTACTAAAAAGTTGATCAGCTCAACTAAGTTTTTCGTTCAACTTTTGTTGATAACTGAAATCGTTCAACTGAACTTGACTCTTGAGAATGAATTTTTAGTAACAAAAATTTACCTGCTATGTACTTGCTGGGTACTCGTTCTTAAAACTACCTGTTCACCAATTAGTAACATATATTATTTGAGGTCCATAATTTGTATAAACTGCATTGTATAGTAGTGTAGAGGATGCTACTGTAATGAAACTCATAGTAGAAATTGAGTCTATATTGTGAAAATTTATAATTATCAACATCGAAAGCAGTTGTGCATGAAATTGTAAGTACAATAAGTGTTTTGTTGAAAGAAGAACTAAAAGTAATTCTCGGTAATGTGTTTTAAAATTGGGAGACAACTCATAAGTTGAACAATAAAGTTTGACTCAGTCTAACATTTGTTGATCTACTAAAAAGTTGATCAGCTTAACTAGGTTTTTCGTTCAACTTTTGTTGATAACTGAAATCGTTCAACTGAACTTGATTCGTGAGAATGAATTTTTAGTAACAAAAATTTACCTGCTATGTACTTGCTGGGTACTCGTTCTTAAAACTACCTGATCACCAATTAGTAACATATATTAATTGAGGTCCATAATTTGTATAAACTGCATTGTATAGTAGTGTAGAGGATGCTACTGTAGTGAAACTCATAGTAGAAATTGAGTCTATATTGTGAAAATTTATAATTATCATCACGAATAGTGTTTTTGATTTTCACCAAGTAACAGATCAGTGTTTTGAAGAAAAACACCAATGGCTTCCTTAATGTTGGAGAAGGATCTCATTTACAATTTTCTCGGACAACTGGGCATTTCATGAGCGTTCATTTTGATGTCTTCATTTACTGTTTTTCTCTTAATAATATCTAAAAATTTCATATTCATTTTACATTAACCAAAAAAAAAATTACTAGCAACCTACCCTGGGTGAAATGCTGATACTAAATGTACATATAAACGCATTCAATTTCTACTAATATGGTGCTATAGGGCAAAGTGCGGCTTTTGACGTGATTTTTATAAGACACCCGCTCAGCCATTAATAAAAATTGGTTATTGTGGGTTATCCCCAAGAAATAGACATATACTATCGCAGACTTTTCTGTAGACCCTTCTAAAGTCTACAAACGCTGGAAGCAACTTTGTTTTATACTAGGTATTGATTTCTTGAGACTGGCACAATTAACAATTGAAACTTGTACCAAGAAAGGATTTGATTATGGGTTAATTTGAAATCTTTAACCGAATATTTTTATATGAGGTGGATATGGCCAATACTTGATCAAAATCATAACGCTTTCAAGTAACACTATCTTCTTTTTTTTTTTTTTTTTTTAAATTGTACAGTTTGACCTACAAAATTTTTTCAATTTTCTTGTTGACGTAAACTCTTTTTCTGTTTGGACCACACCAACAATCTTATTTCCTGAACTTGTTTTTACAGGTCCTTGCTTGAATATTTGCCATATTCTTCTTGATTATCTATAAACTGTGTGATCGAGGGCCTTATATTCACTTAAAACATGAACTCTTTCTGTCTGTGTTTACAGCCCAATTTTGTTCAGGTGTCCTCTACTAACTGAACAGTGTTCACTGTACAGTAGTTATTCTAAGCCCATCCCCGATCTATTGAAGTATTTCTTCTTTTATTCTTCACAGAAATGTATACCTTTATATTTCGTTCAGGGTGTCAATTTGAAACTGTAGTCTTCTGTTAAGCAACTTGAGTGCGTCCAAGATATTTGCAATGAATTTACTTCCAAACGAAAGACTTCCTAGAAGTTGACTTCTGCAAAGAAAATGAAAATCTGGTCATCACAGTTGTCTCATATCCTTAGAGAGATGCTGTTGACACCTAGATTTTTGCTCATCATTAAAGTTGATTATAGTGGTACAAACAAGATCATTTTCATTGACAAAAATTCCATATCCTATCAGCTAAAACATTTAATGTTGTGAATTGTAAGAAATCAAATTAATTTATGCAGGATATTGAACACATTTGGCAAAATATCAGTTTGAGAACCACTGTACGCTCGATGATACTGGTCCAAATATGTCAAAACAATCTAGAGAACTCCAATTGTCTGAACTCAAAATACCCTACCGTACGGTAATAAAATGATGTTTAAAGTTTATTTTCAGTTACTTAAAGTTTTTTGGGATTTTTTCCTTTTGAATGACTTTTTTTGTCAAATCCAATTATCCCGATATGAAGTAGGGTTGGTCCCAATGTATTCAGATAATTATTGCAGTTCTACTGTTGATAAAATTTACCACCATTTCCTCTCATAATCTCTATTCAAGGCATTCAATTGATCGAAGAATCAATGAAAAGAAAATTTATTAACGCATTACATTATTTTTTGTGTTTACACCAATCAGAAAGAACTTTCTTCATATTGAACATAGACGTTGAAAATTGAAAAAAATTTAATTAAAAGATAATTTGAAAGATTAAAGATAGTTTATAAGGATATTTCTGGTTTAAATTATTGATCACACTGGCAGAGAAGAAGCCACATCATCTGATAGTAATTCTCCAATGTTATAAACGCTTTTTTGAAGAGCATTTTTTTAATTATTTGTAGAAATCCTTTATTAGGTTTTTATCAACCCATCGTATTGTAAGGTTAGATTTTTTGTCGAGTATCATAAAAATGAGTAACGAATACAGTAACATATAAGTCCGATTCTAATGACTGGAATAGTGCATTTTAAGCCTTTAATAACACTTCACCTTCAACACTTGCCCAAAGTTTTCAAAGGATAGGTTGCCCTTCATAGTGTTTTTGCTAATTAGTCCACATAGGACTTCCAAGTTAGGGATGAGTCAAGCGTTACTCCAATACATTTCACATTTGACTTCACCTCTATGACTTGATTTCTGAGATAAAAATATATCAGTTTTATAGATATTTAAAAACCTGTTGCAGTCGAACCAGTCATCAACCTTCAATTAATTATACGTCTCTGATTCTCTCCTGTAATTTAATTATGGAGAAATTTACTTAAATTTGTGAAGTTTAGCATCATTGTGGAGTGTGCTACCTTTTTTATTCCTTTGTTTGAAGAATTTATTTTGGAAGTTATTAAAATCTGGAATATCTTTCCAGGACACTATCATATCTCAAGGGAAATTTGCCCAAACCCATTGTCCATTTGATATGTTAAAAGAGAGTACACTACAAATAAATTGATTTTTAGTTCAGAAACCTATGTGACCAAATACAAATGAAGGCCTTGTTGAATTCTTATCTCAATATTTGCACTATGGTATCTCCTACTCGTATTTCTTATATGTGAGTAGGTCGAATCGGTGCTAAATTAAAATGGGTACATTGCATCGTTGGAAATGGTTTTGTTAATGACCATTTGCCTGGTTTCACTGCCCTACAATTATTTTGTATGTAATGATATTTGAATAAAAAAAATAACGAATATAAATATATATTGAATTTATTGTAATAATTGATTGTGCTTTAGGAGAGTCCAGAGGTTATTTATTATATTCATCTTTTTTTTTACAGATTATCAAAGTTGAAGAAGTCAAGGCAAGTGACACAAGGAGACCACAAGTTAAACAGTTCCACGATTCAAAGATTCGTTTCCCACTTCCAAAACGCATTCAACACAAATCTATGAACCGCTTCTCAGTTCGTAAACCAAGAACATACTTCTTGTAATAAATTGTGGTTGAAGAATACATTCTTTATATATTGACATGAATTTTGTTTTCATTACAAATAAAATTTATTAGTACTTGAAAAAATTGGGCGAACACTTTTCACACCAGAACAAAAATGCTGTCTCTCGACATGCGCTTTGCTAACTTAGTTTGCATTATCAGGAGATGACAGTATTAGTCATCTTCTGATGATGGTATGGAAAAAGCTTTTTCAATAGTTAATTTTTCTATATATATATATAAAAGTCTGGGGGTCTTTAAATACTAGCAGTCTAAGGGTAAAAACATACCGGAGCATTGCAGCTCGTTAAATTGCCGTCATGCAACGGCAAAGAAACAACCATTTCTTTTTCGCATACTGGAGCATTGCAACTCGGTACATTGTCATTATGCAACGGCAAAGAAACAACTATTCCTTTTTCGCCGCATGACCATGTGCACGGCGCTGATGCATGGCAATATTGGCAATAGATTCAACTGAAAACTATCCACGGAACACTTTTTTTCTAAACTTTGCAAATTATCTAACCAGTTTAGAGGTGAAGAAACTCGACAAACACATTTCCCTCACTATAATTTTACCAGGATGGAAATCATGAAAGTTCTTAGGTAAAGTAGCCTCATCAAAGGGTGAGGTTTATTGTATGTAAGGGTTTGTATCGCTTCAGATTTCGGGTCAGATCGATCAATCACTGACTTCAATCTATAAAGAAGTATTTCTGTTCGAAAAAGGGGAAAAATATGTTTTCATTAATAAAAACATTTTCTTTAATGTTATACTACTAATTTGTTAAGCGAAACGTACAGGTTCCAAATTTACAGCTACCGAACTGAGTCATAGCTGGTGGAAGAAATCTTTGTGCTTAAAGCTTGGGTTGGTGTATGACAAATTATTATAAAAAAAGAAATAGAAACATTCCGGTAGTTCTACGTATCAAATTGATGAATTAGCCTACTAGATGCAAAACAGTACAAAAAATCAAGTAATGAAATTTCTTGTATAAGATAATTGGAAAAGGCGCCCCCCCCAAAAAAAGTTGAAACAGTAATTAATATAGTCAGCAGTAAAATGGCGCACAGGTAGTATGCCCCAGTCGTGAGATGGGAACATTGCATCTAGATCGTGAGAATTATTTTTCAATAACATTTTTTCTCACGAGAATTTATCTAGTTGAAGGTGAATTGATTTTACTTCGTTACATGGTTGACGGAACCTTGAATAAATACAATCTGCCACTTTGGTGGCTCAGAGAGTTGATAACATAAGTGCCATAGGACGAAGCACGGCATTCGATGCGCTATTTATAGGCAAGCGCCACCGGGACCGTCGCAACCACTGTGTCCCTGCATTTTAAAACTATTTTCGAAAATATTCATCTAAAATATATACTGTAAAAAGCCTTATTGATTTATAAAATATGCATTATGTATTTAAGGTACTTATTTGTATAAGGCATAAGAATTAATGCTGTATTGCTTAAAATCGCTTCCTAAAAGCCATTATTTCTCGAAGATAAAAAATGGTTATTGTGGGTTATCCCTAACAGATAGACGAATACAATCGTGGACTTTTTTAGACTTGTGAATGGATAAACGCCACCAGATAAGTATAATAATAGAATAGGATTTCGCGGTCAGAAATTTGAACATAGAATATTGGGGGGGATGAGTTGAGAACCACGTGGAAAACGAGGTGAATTTAAAAGTTAGTGTGGAAATTGGTGTTTTTTATCAATCACTAAGCTAATTTTGTGTGAGTGCGACCCTACAAAACATTAGTGAGTCAAACTTTCTATATTAATTCTATTGGTGCTTTAAGTTGCAAAACTTTCACTTGCTTAGCTTTGTGTAGNACAGTAGTTATTCTGAATAACATAGTTTTCCAGTAGGCTTACTGTGATGTACCTTTTGAACTGTACCAGTTGATTATCTGTCAACATTGAACGTGATAGGAATCTCACGTTGAAATATGAAGCCTTCTTAATCTATAGGCTGCACAAACTTTGACGTTTGAGGGCATGACAGTTGGTTAGAAAATTCAAAACTTCAATTGTTAATGAAGCCTAGGTAGACCATTTAGTGAGGAAGGCACAGAGATGAATCATTTCCTTTGTTTTCAAATCATTTAAATCTTCAAATTATTTGCCCTTCTCAATTATTTTAGGAACACATTGGATATATCATAGACAGTAGACATGTCATTGAGTAGGTTTACAACATACATAAAAATAAGTTGAAAATTTTATAGAAAGAAAGGTACTCAATTGAAAGTTACTATATATTTGCGTCATTTTTATGAAACGGGAATATAGAACGTGCATGTAGGCATTTCTTTATTTTTTCAAATAATTGATGTGGTTCCCAGATGTCTCAGTGATGGAAATACATTTTTTCTTTGGAATTTTCAAATTTGTATAGTCTACAATTTGAGCTCGATTTGATCTAGAATTCGATTAACTTCCTTCAGCGCCACTCTAGATTAAAGTGCATCACCTCACATTAGTGCTTACACTCTAATGCAGACGGACATTGCTTGTTAACTGACCTCAAACTACAGTCGAACTTTGTTATAGCGCAAAACCAAGTGGGGTTTGGGTACAACTCAGATCCACTTTAGTGTGGGCTCCACCTGTAGTAGCAACATGATCCTGGAACTCCTGGCTGGATAGTCCTGGCAGCTGAAGCCATTAATGGAAAAGAAGAAGAAGAATAGAATATTGGGTTGAACCGCGCTCAAACTTTTGCATTGTTGGACGTTTCGACTTTACTGTACTGAGCTCGGAGTAGTAAAAAAAATATTCCTCTGAAGTACTGAGAGACACACTTTAGGGTTCTGTGACTTGACACCAGGGCCTCAATCTGCCTACTCTCCAGCTCTCGTCGCTGGTCATCCTATGTGTATATTTTTTCTGATACCTAATGAGTCTATGTCCTCATCCAAATCCCACATCTCTGCTTCGATTCTGATTGTTTTGTGGATAGATTTTTCCCAAGCTTCTTAGTCGACTGTTTTTTAAGGACAAACACAATCAATACATGAAAATCCTTAAGGCGCTCTAAGAGCGGTGCCTGTGCTAAAGTATAGTGATACACATTGGATTTGAATCGTTGGAGATTACATTCATTTGGAAAAACGTTCTCAGCAAGTTTATTCCACATAAACGCAGTTCTCCAAATGAAAGAGTTCTTAAACAATGAAGTTCGAGGTGCACTGAGTTGAACCTCAAAACTATAAGCAGCCACAGTCCGTCGCGTATTTCTGATATGTACCGCTTTTGGTGGAATCAAATTTGCCAAGTCACTTGAACACTTTTCGTGAAAGTATATATAGAAGAAAGACAAATCTCCAACCTTTCTTTGATGTTCCAGACTATCAAGGTTTCAAGTGATGTTGGCGTCTCCAATCAGGCGGATGGCACTTTTCTGGATGAAATCCAGCAGCTTCAGGGTATGCCATGGAGCAGAGTTCTATACATGAGAAAAATCCTCCAAAGAAGGTCTGAAATGATCTTTTAAGCATCAAAAGCTGCTAAGGTGTATACGGTTTTCTGGTTCGGAACAGTGTTCAAAGCTTTTGAGAAGAAGCTTTTTCAATCCCAGCGACATGATTGTGCCAAGACATATTGGTGTCCGCATTTTAACCCCCAACAAATTTATCGAAGCAGAAAATCGAATTGTCTGACCTGACATTATTATATCCGGTTCGGATATAATAGACATTTATCTTTTTGGAGAAAAACGATGCCTGGGTTTTTGTGGCATTGAATTGAACCTAGTTACACCCCAATTCGAAATTACTTCTAGATCCTCATTAAGATATGCAACCTCCTGCTGCCGATGAAGATATGTGCTGTCGTCAGCAAAGCCAATATATTGGATTCTTGGTTTTTTCCAATACGTCGTTGATATACAATAGAAAAAGGGTTGAAGACAATATTCGAGAGATATCCGTCGACGGCCACTTGCAAGGAATAACGTTCTTTCAGGACACTGAAAAGCCATACACAAAAATGATTCGACAAGCCATAGCTTCGAAGTTTGACCAGCAAACCCTAATGCCACACACGGTCAAAGACCTTAGAAATATCAAGCGCATCTTACTTCGACTCTCAATGTTTCTCTATTGCGTTACCTATTCCAAATATGGCTGACATACCTACATACAAAGCAACTGGTCTATAATTATTTGGGCGAGTTTTCTTACCCTTTCTGGGAAAAGGCGGAACGCGAGCATTATCTTTCAACATGAAGGAAAAATCCCTTTCTTGTAAGACAGGTAGAAAAGTCTGCAAAATACTGGTACGAGTGCATTTGCACATTTTTTAAGTACCATGACGGGCACTTCATCAGGACCAGACGCCTTGATGATATTGAGCTGTTTCAGAATTCGCCTGACTAGACGTCGAAAAGTAATTTCCGGCATTGTGGATTCTAATGTGGGAAATCGACTGTGGAGTGGGATGCAAAGTGTTCAGCTAGTAAATTTGTTTTTTCTATGGCTGTTGTTGCAATTGAACCATCAACAGGTTTAGCTACCGACCAGAAGAATCTAGACCCGTTAGGATTGGCAATCAGTTTATTCCTAATTATCTGATTGTGAACTTCTTTGCTTTCATTTATCCTAAGTTTGCAGCTGATTGCGAGCATTAACAAACCAAGTTCGTTTTTCGGCACTGGTATTTTTGCGCCACTGCCGGTAGGCGAGATATTTTGAGGCGAAAGCTTGCTCTAAAGCACTGCATAGGCATTTCTTTACTTCACACAATTGGAAGGTCTTGTTATTCCTTGTGAGGAATCCTTTAACTTGAGCGCAAACCAACTATTGGATTCAATTCACAGTGATAAGGCGGCAACCGAAGAACCAACATTCCTTTAGTCTTCGCCATCTCATCGGCGACATACCTGACGAATTTTGATTTATGACGTTTAGCAGAAATGAGGAGCTCTGCTTTTAACATAACAGAGTCATAATCGCGCATTTTTGCACTACTTCCTCCTTACTTTTCATTTCGGGCAGATATTGTATTCTTGAAGAATTATAAATATTCATAACAATTGGTTTTTCATTTATATTCAATGCTGAAAGTTTTGTAAGCTTCACTGTTCCCGAACAACTAGCTTCCATGATGTATAGCTTTTTGTTCAACGCGCTCTCGAAGTAAACTAAAGAATATCACGACTAACCCTTCTACCATGGCCTTTGAACTCCCAACAGAAAAAAATGTAATATCTTCTTCATATGAAAAAAGCCCTATTGATGGGGGCAGTGTGTCTGTTGACAGTATAATTCAAAGGAATATTTATTTATACCACCTTCAGAAAAACAAATGTTTTTTCAATCCTGTTCAACTAAATAGGTACTTATTTGTTGGAGAATGTCTTAGTTACTACTGGACACATTTTAATATTTGTCGTAGTTGATTTGTTATTTTGTTTGTTATGAAAGAGATTTTTTAAGAATACATTTTGTATTTCCATTTATTCAATTCGTTGAGAGTAAATAATTTGAATGCAGTACACCTATTTCACTAACATATATAGATATACTGCTGTAGTTTCTCTCATTTCTGGACAAACTATAGAGACAGGTTAACCAAGAATATTGTGCACCAATTAGTGCTGAATTAAAATTGGAAATATTTATAAATTAAAATAATAAGCATTTTATTAATTATGAACAAATAGTAAATTTTTTAAAACAACGATAAAAAGAAAATAAAAACAACAATACAAATTAATTGGCGCTCCGGGGCGACTTCATTGATTCCAGTGGCGCATTTGCTTTTTCAGCCGATGGAAAACTCTTGAATTACAATATCCAGATGTCGCAAACTCTGTGTTCCCCCCGAATAGTTTTCAGTCCATTAAAAATCCTAATCAGACTTGACAAGTTAGTAAATTCAACGATATCTCATGCGCATTCACCAAATGAATTCGCTCATTAGTTTACTAAGACTGCGCATTAAACATCTCTAAATTTAAAAAATTGCCAATTTTTTATAAAAGACTAGCTTTTACCCGCGGCTTCGCTCGCATTTATGCCATTAAATAAGTATAACTACAATGGAAATGAATCAATATGAGAACTATATGACGTTAAAGTAGCGAGATTTTTAAATTTTTTTGACAAACAATTTTTTTATCTTACATAAAAAATTATTTTTTTTTAAATAAAAAGTATCCTATGTTACTTCTAATACCTCCAAGAACATGTGTACAAAATTTCATGATGATCGGTTGAGTAGTTTTCACGTGGAACCGCAACAAACAAACATACATTCGCATTTATAATATTAGTAGGGATAGTAGGGAAGTAGGAATGAGTGGCAAAAACATAACAGGGGATCATTTTGGAATCACTCGTCGCAACGTTTGCGCAAGCACAGTATTCCGTAACTATTGTGGCGTAGGTGACGATTCCGGAGGAATCGGTATCCTTCAAACATTTGCAGATTCGATTTAATTGTTAGTGCCACAACGAGTGGGTTGATAGAAATTTGGATCTTTGCGATTGATTTGTATAAATGCTCAGTAATCGTAGCTTTGAACTCAATATTACTGATTTTATAGGAATCGCAGAACTGCGAGTAATTCGAGATAGAAAATAATTCATCAAACAATGAAAAACGACTTTGACTGAATTCAAGAACTCTCGTCTCGTTCATTAAGAATGGGAATCAGGCCTCGCTAAAGTTATGAAATTGCGTATCGTTTATAAATGACAATGCCGTATTGCCTTTGATAATGTCTGCCGCAGTAGCAGATGAAACATCAGATATAAAAACCTGCAGACCGCGTCTAATAAACCCGGAAACATCGGACAATTTGTTAGACACCGGATATGAAACTCTACACATTATGAATAGGAAACGACTTCGGTGAAATGATATGATCATTGGTGAATTCAGGATCTTATCTGCATATGGAGACGGATATAAAAAACAAACATATGAATGAATAACATGACAAACACTTTTTTCTTTTCAGAAGTAACTACGATAAAACAGTTTGATGAAAAATGTATATTTTTTTCCTCCAAATTCAAATCTCAGATGACATTGGCATATACAAATGAAACAACAATTTGTTGGAAGGTGCAGCCTTCTGAAGCCACAGTACTCTAGTACTCTAAAGTAGAAAAATTCTGTCGAAAAAAACGAGAATAATCCTTAAACTTGGTATAATTGCTCGATCATGGTTATCAAAATGAAAAGCACCATTCAAGCATTGAGCAGAAAATCCATTCTTTCTCCGTTATGAAAATTAAATTTCAATACTGATATTATTTAACATATAAATTATACGTATTTCGATGACTGGAAATAACCCCACAAGGGTAAACTAATTGTTATCTGTTAAAAAACCATTTAGGATAAATCCTAGGCAAATCATCGAAATCAACATATTAATTTGCCTTTTTCGCTTTAGCAGTAAGAATTTCACTGCTCATTCAAAGGCACCTTTACGTCAAACGTCAAACTGTTTTACATTTTGACATTTTGACCATTAACCTAAAATATACTGTTTACAGTGTTTACTTTTAGTTGTCAGTTTTATAGGATAGTTGGTAGTGGGTAGTGACAAGAGTGGAAAGTGTATGGTCGAGTTGAACATTATGAATTAAATCCATAAAAATGTGAATAATTCTTGGTATCTCTTCCATCAGATACCCAGTGCCATGTATTTCTTATATAGATATTATATTCAGTGTCTTAAAAAATGACGGTTCCTGCGAAAATATCAATTTCAAGAGTTTACAATTTTGCGAACGCCTCTTTGTATAAGAAATACAAAAATTTCTTTTTTGTGCTACTCGTTATTTCTGTATTTATAGCTTTATCTGTTCCTCTTACAAATTTTGCTACGGATGTATCCAAAAATTTCGAACGAATTGATTTGAATAACTTAAAAAATTTGCCCATTGTAAAATTGACCAATAGTGCTAGTATCTTGATTCCCAGAAATGCTCTCTGTACCCATTGGGATTGCTTTAACATATATCGATGTGGTCATACAGGACATGACAGGATAGCAGTCTATGTTTACCCACTCAAAAAATACGTGGATGAAGAAGGAACCCCAGTCACTGGACACTTATCTAAAGAATATTATTCAATACTGAAAGCTGTGATAAATTCAAAATATTATACAGCGAATCCAGCAGAAGCATGTATATTCATTCCATCTATCGATACTTTGAATCAAGACAGAATTTTGCTGAATTCGACATCAAGGGCTCTAAGTTCTCTTCCATTGTAAGTATTTAGTGACGTAAGAATTTAGTGACGTATTTGAATGCAAAATGATGAATTGTTATCGTATTCCTCTGTAAACATATGATCAGTGTTGATTCCCACCATTAATACCATTAACTTTTTGCCTTATGTATCAAGCTATGAAGTTCAAGTACAGATACTGGAACAACTATCATTCAGTTGTACAGTGTCCACTGAAAAACAATTTGATTAAATCATAAACAAGCTAGTTTTTTCAGCCTTATATATTTTTATAGCATTTTTTTGTCATTATCTCTAAGACAATTAATCTTTATCCTCAAAACATTTTCAAATTAGTCTACAAAAAAGTATGTTCAACTCTTTGAAGTAGCCAGGACTATATTGATTTTGAATTATGAATACTCTGACCTGTTACTTGATGAAAATTAATAACACTATTTAAGATAATAATTATAGAATTTCACAATAGATTTTATTTAAAAGGCGTTTCTCTACACGGTGACTTCATCAGTTACGGGTATATCAAACTACTCTACAATATCTCATATAATAGTAGGTAATGAGAAAACTTATTAAATAAATGATTAAAACTGCTAAAATAGGTAGATTTGGAATACAATTAGGTACCATACTATATTACTTCTAGGAACCATGTAAAATATTGGCATTTCATGTCAAAACTTTATGAGATAGGTGATTGATTCTGGCAGTTAGATAAATGATAATCAAATAAGTTTTTGTCATTATGTACTATTACATAAGGTCTTTCATTAAGCACTTCCTATCTTTAAATAAAAATAAAAGTAAATAGGTATGGAGCGATGACGTCGCCAGTCCAAAATCCACACCAAACAGTGCATTGAATGCTTTTGAATATCGATATATCGATAAAATATTCTCTTTTCCTATTAAACTTAAAACTGTGAAATAAGAAAGAAATTAATTATCCGCCTTCAACTATTGAACTTTAAGTAATTGATGGAATGTTAAAGGAACGATGCAATCAAATGTTATCTTAATAATATTAAAACATGTATAAAGATAAAGTTTGTTATTTTTTCAACATCAATTTAATTATCACATACTCATACGAAATGAGTATATTCTCTACACAGTGCGGAGGTAGATTAAAAAAGAAATTTGTGATTTCAATAAATATGTAGTGAAGAATAATTAAAAAAAAAACTTGGATTTAAAATTAACTGAGCATCTTCAATATGACTGATACTGGTAAAGAAATAAAAGTTTGTTCAATATTCAGAAAAGGTGACAAAACTGATATTGTCAATTACAGAACAGTGGTGTAATTGACAATTACAGAACAGTGGCAGCTGTAAAACTATCTGAGTCTGTGTTATTGTCAAATGAATTTATAGCTCAGTTTCTGTCAAAGACCCATAGTTCCAACATGGTTACATAAAAAGGTCCACTGTTATTAATCTGAGCAGTGTTAAAATTATAAATAGCAAATTAAGTCTGAAAAAGAAATATATAAAAGATGAGGTAGTACTTCAGATGAGATAGGGCATAAATTGCTGAGTATTTTATAAATATCAGATTTGCAATTTTAAATCAACTATCCATACCAATATCACCCTCTCACATAATATGAAGTAGTTGATTGTCTCAATAAAATGAAAATTAAGATCTCTGCAGTTTATGATAAATTATCTATTATCTGTTTAAAAAATTCCTGACAACAATGCTAATTCACAGAATTTGAGAAAACTTATTGACTCTTTTAGTGAAAAATTAAAAAACTTAGGTTTACTGACTGACCAGTGGAGTTTTTTTTCTTTTTATATGCTTCTGAGTTGCTTAGATTCAGATACCATCGCTAAATTTGAAATTATTCTTGGATCTGATGCCATTTCTACTTATGATTCACTTCACGAATTCGTTCTTAAACAATGAAGCAGAAGACTGCTTTAAAAAAAAACAAAAATTTTCTCTCGGTCCTGTATAATTTCTCCTATCGCTCAGATACGGCTGTGAATTCCTATTCTCAGGATCAATAGGTTCGCGCATTTCGGCTAAGCAGAAAAGTAAAAACACTCCGCGAGTCGATTCATGGCCGGAAAAAGAAACTGCTTGCAACTCACTCAATAGTGAATTTGTGCGCTCTCCTGGATCTCTATATCAAGGTAGGAAATCACAGTCTCGTTTAATATCTCTCTCCTCGAAATTTATTCAACCTCATAACAAAATGATTAAAATAGAAATTTCATGTTACAAACAGCCATACTAACAGTCCATTATTTTATCGAAAATTGATCTTGGTAGACTATTATAGACTTGATATTGAAACTTTATATACCTCATAAATCAGTTGCTAATACAAGGGTTTTTTCTGGTTAGCTACATCTGATTCATCTAAACATGTCCATTTGCTATTCTGTTCAAGTGCTTTCTTCTCATTTTTATATCTACTTTCCATTTTATTCCATTTAGATTATCTTGTTATGTTAGTATCATGTATTCTTGATATCTTTGTGGTTATTTTGATACTATTTTCATTCTAATTCCGTTTTTTTTTCTGATTTTTCTGATTTTTCCTGTTGAATTTCAATTCTATTACTTTTCTATCACCTCGTTTATCGTCATTAATTTTGATTCCATTCAAATCGTGATTATACCTTCTGATTCATGATCAACAGCTTCAACTCAATTCAAGTAGCACCTCTGCTCACCACCATTTTGTCAATCCCGTGAGCGATATCTGTTTAGAGTAGAACCAACAGAACTTTTTTTTTTAAATTCTTGCATCTACTTTCTTACCATTGATCAAAACTTTAATGTATGTATATAATTCAAATCAAAGGAATACGATTTAGATCTTGGAACACCACAGGGAAGTCTCTTGGTTTTCTTAACCTATACCTATCAATGACTTGCCTCATAACATAAAAACCGGTAGAGTCTTCATGTATGCTGGTGATACCTCCATTGTGATATTGGAGCATGATCTCCAAGGACTTCAAGGACTCGATTCTGAAAGATTTTGCAGATTATTGCATGCATAATAGACTTATAATAAATCATAGAAAAAAGTTATAATTGAGTTTTACACTTGAATAGAATACCTTCTAATCTTACTATCGTTAAGACCTCCACTTCATCTGAAATATTAGGAACGCTCATAGATTGCAACTATGAACAAATAGGTACAAATGATCTGTAAAACAGGTCTTCAAATCAAAACGGATCCTCACGGTAACATCAATTTCTTTGATGAAACTTTCAACATACATTTTCAACAACAAACATTAATTTCCCATTAACATTGACTCATATTCTTACAACTGTAGGGCAAAATAATATTGAACTGAACCATCCCCAACACTCGTATTACAAAAAAATCTCCCATGAATGCAGGCTGCCGTTTTTTGAGTCTGCCGTTTTTTTGAGTCTGCCGCAGGAGCTGGTATTTTTAAGTGAAAACTTAAGGAAATCCCAGTCAGAGAATGCTTTTATAACTATTGAAAAATTTGAATCTTTTCTGTTTTCACAAGTTATGTTGATCATTACTGTAATAATTTCACTTTGTTTCGTTTTGTTCTTCAACTAAACCTTACATTGTTCTTCTAGGCAATTTAAAATTGTAACAAACATTGATCGTACCCAGGTCGGACAAAATTCATTCAAAATCATTTTTAGTACTATTTCATAAGAAAGACGGTAGTGTTGCATCACTTGTTGTCGAAAGGGCGCTACCTGTAATTACTGTGGTTGATTGTAAGACCGAGACAAGACAGAGCCTACTCGACCGTAAATGTGTGCCCGCACCTATCTCTCTTGCCCCTACAGTAATATACGAGACGTAACTCTCTCTTTCTATCTTCACTAACTTATACCTCCCTCTCAGCTTCCGTTCGCCTGACCCGATCACACTTTTCGTAACGCTTTCTTCACGCATTAACCAGCTTACTCCCCAAGTCAAGCGCGCGTAAAGAAGTTTTACTTCAATGAGTAAAAATCGGAATTACTGTATAAAACTGAATAAGGTTAGTTATTACTGAGTCAGAAAATCATGTTCTCTTAATAGATGTCTAGAAGAGTGATAGGAGAAGTGTAACAAGTAATTGAAGAAGGTGACTGATGAAAAAGCATGTGAACTACTCTGCAATATTTTAGGACTCATGTGGTGATTATTCGAAAATCTTGTATTATCTCGTGTAGATCAAATTACTTACTCAATATGAAACAAGTCGTGAGTAGCTTTACAAATGGTCCACTGTACTTCCATTATCAGATAAGTAACTGGGAGAATCGCAATGTTGTAAACCTTGCACCTGGCATTTGATCAAACAAACGATTCAAGTTCTTCCATTAGTTATTAGATTTTAGTATACAACACTCATTCCATTACAGACTTCACATACAAAATGCCGATTACATTTTCTGTTATGGATTAAGGGTATCAGATAAAAATACGCCTTGCAATTGAAAATTGAAATCACCGATATTCGACATCAAAATTAATCAAAAGAAAATTTCACTTGAGATTTTCGAAGAAATTGTTTTTCTTTTGATTTTGCTTTCTGAAGTGACTATATTTTCAGCAATATATATTTTCAGTGCATGCGCTACGTCCTGACTAAAAGTCGTAAAACAGTTGCATTACATTCAATAAAAATCCCAATAAATTTCAAAGCGTTCCTAAGATTTAACGAGTGTTTCACTTGAAGTCACGGACTCATTTGGCGCCGAATGTTATGGCGAAAGGATATGTTTTGTAGTTTCACGGTATGGAGAAAGATACCAGATAAATATGAGTTCTGCATGATAAATCAGTTTCGAAAATGTACAAATCCTTACTGTAGTTTCCCTTCATGAAATGATGGTATATTTAGAAATCCTTTCTTATTGCAACTATACAATCAACATACAAAATTTCAGCCACCGAAAATATAGCGGTACGGAGAAACAGTAATGAAAAGATAATTTTCATATAGTCTAATCAACAAGCTCAAAAACATGAAAAATAAATGTTAATAACTGCCATTGTTTAATGTGAA